TAACTCTGGAAATGGGACCATATATGCACCTCAAAGTCATATTCTTGAGTGTCCAGGGAGCTCCTGTCACTCACAGATTGTTACTCCAGAACAGTACCCTGCCCTGTCGGTGAAATTCTAGTGCTGGCAGGAGGAAGTTGATCCTCTATGTACTGAAATGGTAAGGACAAGGGAATAACAGTGAAAGCATCTACCACAAACCCTTATTGGATGCATCTATGGCAAACCCTTATTGGAAGCTATTTTTTTTCATTTTAATTTTAAAAATGTTTTCTCCACAATTTTTTATTGGTGCACTATAGTTGTACATAATGGTGGGATTTGTTGTTAGATATTCATACACGCACACAATATAACAATGTAATTTGGCCATTATCACTGCCTTGCACTTTGCTCTTCCTCCTCTCCTCCCCCAACCTTTCCTTCCCTTTCCTCTGTTCTACTGATCTCCCTTTAATTTTCATGAGATGCACGGCTTCGGCCTGAGAGAAAATATAGAACCCTTGACCTTCTGAGTTTGGCTTATTTCACATAACATAATTTTCTCTAGTTCCATCCAATTTTCTACAAATGGCATGGTTTCATTTTTCCTTTATGACTGAATAAAACTCCATTGTGTATACATAATCACATTTCTTTATCCATTCATGTGTTGTTGGACACCTAGACTGGTTCCACAGTTTGGCTATGGTGAATTGTGCTGCTGTAAACATGGATGTGAATGTTTTGCTATAGTGGGCTGACTTGAATTCTTTCAGATAAATACCACGGCATGGTTGAGCAGTGCCATAGGATGGTTCCATGTCTAATCTTTTGAGGAACCACTGATTTCCATAGTGGTTGTACTAATTTAAAATCCCACCATATCCTCTCCAGCATTTATTTATTATTTTTTATTGATTTTTTTCAAAATACAGCAGAATGTATTACAGTTCATATTACACATATAGAGCACAATTTTTCATATCTTTGTATAAAGTACGTTCATGCCAATTCATGTCTTTAAACATGTACTTGTTTTTTTGCATTACAATTCTTATTATACGTATATACTGTAATTTTCATATCTCAGTTTGTATATTAAGTAGATTGACACCCAATTCGTGTCTTCATACATGTACTTTGGATAACTTGATGACCGCCCTTCAGACTGTGGGAGATAAAATCTCAGTATAGTTTTGATTTGCATTTCCATAATTGCTAATAATGTTGAACATTTTTTTTTCATTTATTTGTAGCCCATTTATATTTCTTCTTTTGAGAAGTGCCTGTTTAATTCATTTGTCTGTTTATTAATTGGATTATTTGGCCTTTTTCATGTTGGGATTTTGAGTTCTTTATATAGTCTAGATATGAATCTTCTGTCTGAAGTGTAGCTAGAAAAGATTTTCTCCCATTCTGTAGATTTTTTTTTCTTCACAATGTTTACTTTGCTGTGCAGAAGCTTTTTAATTTGATGCTATCCCATTTATTAACTCTTGGCATTATTTCCTGAGTTTTAGGGGTCCTATTGAGAAAGTCTTTGCCTGTGCCCATATGCTGGAGTTTGACCCTACATTGACTGTTATAAACTGTATAGTTTCTGGTCTAATTCATGTTGGAAGCTATATTAAGAAGGCTTTTTCCAGGCAGAATCTGTGGCTTGGTTAAATAACTTTTGTGCATTTCCCACTCTGATCCAACATCAGTGACATGACTACACACAGAGTATCTGCATGTGGGTACTCAGGGTTGTTTTTAACCAAACATTGGCTTTCTGTGCCTTTTACTTTTTAGTTTAGTAAGTTTGTCTTTTATATATGGCTTAGAGTCAAAACTGAGCTATGTTTCCAACTGCTTTCAAAATCCATCAGTTCCTTACCACTGCTCAGGATATGCACACTACATAAAACCAAGGTAAAGGGACACTAATAAAATGGGCTCCCCTGTGGTGAGCTGTGCCTCTTTCAGGTGAAAGCATAGCTTTACTGAAGGAGCTATGAAACGCAAAGCAAATCAATGAATTTGACCTGGAATGCCACTTCTAATTTTCAAAACAACTTCATCATATGACTGTATTTTTACAAATAAGTACTCATTCTATTATCCATTCCATTTTCTTATTTTCTCATTTAAGAACATAGAAATTGTGTGATTTTACTAATTTTAACGGTTCTTTAAAAGTTCTCTCAATGTTTACAATAAATATGTGTGGGGGTGGGGACTGGGGGCTGTAACTCAGTGGGACAACTTGTGGTTATCATGTATAAGGCCTTGGTTTAGATCCCTAGAACCAAAAACACAAAACTAAATATAAATCACAGGAACAAATAGAGTTAGGTTTATTCTAAATTATAAGCATATCTCAGTGATTTAAAAAATAAGACAAATGGGGTCTGAGGGTATAGTTCAGTTGTAGAGTGCTTACCTAGAATGAGCAAGACCCTGGGTTTGAATTCCAGTACAGGAAAAAAGATAGATATTTATGTGTATTGGTATAGTTATTGGGATTTTATGTGCATATTTAAATATTATGAACAAATAAAACCCAATCATTCATGTTAGAAAAAACAACTTTCTCCATTTTAGCCTGAGTTGATGTATTTTTTTTAAGTTTTTTTTAAATATTTATTTTTTAGTTTTATGTGGACACAATATCTTCATTTTGTTTTTATGTAGTGCTGAGAATCGAACCCAGTGACTCATGCATGCTAGGCGAGCACACTACCAGTTGAGCCACATCCCCAGCCACCAAGTTAATGTATTTTAAGTTTTACATTTGTGATTGGAAAACTGCTTAGTATTGTATACAGCTGCTGTATACACATATCACATTTTACATGATTATTTATTTTTATTTACTTTGTAATAATCTTAGACTTCTAATAGAACTGCAAAAGCAATATATAGAGACCCCATTACCTTTCACCCACCTTCATGCTAACCTTTTAGGTAAGTATAATGCAATAATACATGGTGGATTCTTCAGCCACACAGATGTGGGGAAATCTGCCCCAAAGTCCATCATCTGACAGTGATACTCTGTCATACATGGTATAAAGTGTTTCCTTTGGTTAAAATGGTATTATGTGTGTGTGGGGGGGCACATGTTGCCTCTACTTTGGAGCACTCAATGTAATCAACAAAACAGACACATGGGTACGTACATTTAAAATGTTTGGGGTGACATCTGCATTTCCTGAGAGTTCTCATTAGTGTTTCTTTTCACTTTCAGTCATGCTAACTCCTCCTTTCCTTTGTTACTCTCAGTTCTTGGAAGTCTAGCTAAGGTACTGTGAGGATTAGTCTGATTGACCTTCTGGAATCTTGAGGAATGCAGCGGGCAGTCCAACTAAATTTTAATGGACACTAATGAAGTGTTTTTGTCCCTGATACAAGGACATTGACTTGTGGCTCCCACATTACATAGTAAGAATGCAGTAATATTTTTTGCTCAAAATCTCCAATAGATGCTAACACTCAGCAGTACATTAGTACATTAGGTTTTGAGAAAGGGTTGGACTTGGCTGGTATCATATGAGGCTGCTCAGTGCATGACATCAGAAAATCCTTTAATGCATATCATTGCAATACTAATTATGATAACCAGATCAGTATTATTAGACCATTGAAAAATAGATAGAGTTAATACTGAATCTTTTTTTTTTAAAACCCAAACAGAAATTTAAAAGGTGGTGCTTGGCTCTTTCAAATCTCAAAACTAGTTATAAGTTACATTTCTTGAATCAATATACCAAAGGAATTTTCTTTATCTTTTCTCCTTTTGTAAATCTCTCACTCTTCAGGCTTTCTAGCTCCTTTAAAAGTACCTCACATTATATATCATTTCCTCATTTCTTTCTCATCTCCCGATGAAATAGATGCCTGAAGGTATTTACATGCTAAGATAAAAAAGCACTTATCAGAGCAAGAAGCATTTTTAGGGTATAAGAATGTACAGAAGTTTTAACTGCCACCTCTCCCCATTTTGCTTTCTAAATTTATAGGACTTACATATAGTTAGTGAACCAATTCTACAAAACAAGTGGCCTCAACAGGCATGAAATAGCAGCCCAACGTATTGAAGCTCTTCATGGGCGAACTCTGAATTTTCTGTGCACATTTTGCACCAGTGTAAGTCTTATTTGCTTCAGCCAAGTTGGCATTCTATTTTCCTCAAGGTCTATCAGATAACCATGAAATAAAGCCAGTTGTAGGGGTAGGTAAAGAGGATTAGACCTGGTTTGCTTGAATAAGGTCCTGAGGAGAGGTCCAATATTAAGCAGACACCAAAGAGAAAGCACATATTTAGGGCATATTTTAAAACATTTCACAGTGAACATAAAAAGCTTAATCAGGCTATAAATTATTCTATTCAAACAAAAATGTAAAACTGGAAGGCTTAAACAAACCAACAGGCAAACAAAATAGCGAAATCACCGAAAAAGAATTTTAATTAAAAAGGAACTTTCATTTGAGGAGGAACTAGAGCCCCACATCCTGGTACAGGTTGGGTGTCTCTAATCTGAAAATCAGAAATTCAAAGTGCTCCACCAGTGGAAAATCTGTATTTGACTTCACATTCTAGTCAAAACACAAGGGTACTAAAAACATTGCCTAAAATTACCTTCACAGTGTGTGAATAAGGTGAATAAGGTTCCTCTGAAACAAAAATATATTTTGAGTTTAGACTTTGGTCCCATCCCTAAGATATCTCATTACATATATGTAAATATTTCAAAACTCCAAAAGACCTTCGTTCGGTTCCATGTACTTTGGATAAGGGATACTCACTTAACTTGTGTTTGAAATACATAAATCTATACTTCCAATTTGGTCTTTTCGATGTGTTGTCTCCTCCCTCCTCCAGTATCCTGTAGTCTGGCAAATCTCTTCTCTTCACCCTTACCTCAGCTTTAAGGAAGACAGGACTGGGGGTTCTCAAAAGCAATTTTACCAAAAAACAAATAAATAAAAAAGATAGATGTGAGACACAAACAAAAACCCACAAGAGACTCAAATGGCATTAAGTATGCATGGGTATATTTATATATGTTGAATACATACCATATATTATTTGTGGCTATAAATATGTTTGTTTTAGTGCATTGTGTGCTGCTATAATAGATACAAACTGGGAAAGTTATGAACAATAAAAGCTTGTTTGGATTGTGGTTCTAGAGGCTGAAAAGTCCATGATGGAGGGGTCACATCTGCTGAGGGCCTTTATGCTCTGGCAAAGGGCAAGGAAGAATGGAGAAGGAGTGGCTACTAAGAGGAGTAAATCTCTCCTTTTATAACTAATCCATTCATAAGACAGTGGATAATGGCATTAATCCATTCATGAGGGCAAAGTCTTACTAGTATTATTCTAATATATATATATATATATATATATATATATTTCATTCATCTTTCAGTGGTTAAATATGAGTGGCTAGGGTGCTCCTTCAGATGGCATGACAGTGCCAGTCACCTTGGGATGAGAATGAGGCTGAGACCCACAGGAGGCCAGGAGGCCAGCTCTACCAGAAGGAGGATGAAGAGTACATGTGGAAGCTCAGTCCAACTGGGCAAGTCACATCATAGTGCCCGCTTTACACATGGGAAAAATAGTCACAGGGAATCAAAGCAACATCTCTAAGATTCTAGATCCAGGAAGTGGCATAGACAATCTTGAGTAAAAATCTGATTTGCTACTCTACTTGGATTTTTATTTCCTCTTCAACTGGGTTTTCCAATCTTCTCTCCAAGTCCCACTTTTTTTCATTGCTCTGTAATTTCCTACTTTCTTCTCTTCTCCTCTCCTCAGGAGATAGACAATTCCTCTTTTAAATCCTCCCTAACCCTCATAGGAAGAAAACTCAAGGACAGCACTGGGTACCAAACTCCTTTAGAGGAGGTGCTACTTTATTTGTTCCCCTGCTCTGCCTTCCCACCTGCAAGCTCTTGAGGGAAGGGCAGAGAGTGATATCATTTACCTTTGCACACCTAGTTAGCATGCCCTTCACATCATGAGCAATTGAGAGACAACATGCATAGGAGCTACTGGAGGGAAGGATGGAAAAAGGGAAGAAATACAGGGGGCGATTTTTACTCAAGATTTTGTTCAATTTAGAAGAATAACATACTGCAGCAAAAAATAAAGGTAGCTTTGCACAATTTCTAGACTTGTTACTAGTATTGTGTTATCTTTGTATACTAAAATGCATTTAAAACAAATGCAGTTTCAACTTCTTAAATTACACAGAAAATAAGCTCTAATCTGGATCTCTTGGGAGAGAGTGAGCTGGGAGAGATACAGGGTCTCCTAAAGTCATAGCACATGGGTGATACTAAGTCTGGAGATTAGATGAATGCAAATTATTATGAACTCTGAGGGAGCAGTTTGTTACACTCCCTGTGTCCTCTGTTTCTGAAGCAGTGTGGTAAATGTGGAATCCACTTGCCTGCCCTTGCACTTTCATTCCTCCATTTGGTAGTATAAGGACTCTCTGCTCTGGTTTTCACATCCCATCCCTGGGGATATGCACAGCACCTATCTCAAGGGGCTCTTGTGAGGATTAAATAAATCAATATATACAAAAAGCACTTAGATCTGCACCTGGTTCTGGAACCCAGTATATCCTAGTTGCTGTATGGTACTTCCTAAATAAAAACATAAAATCATGATTAAAGTATATTTGGTTAACATATATAATTTGGCAAAAAGATGGAGGTATTATCTTTATACCATTTTTATCATAGTCTCTAGAGATGAAGAGACCATGGTAATTTCTAGAAGTTTTGGATAAAAAAGACTGGTTCATATCTTCATGCTCAATTTGCTTCCTATAATTTAAAGAAGGGTCAATAACTCATGACTTTGTGTAGTGACCTTTTCCATATGCTAAATTTTTTATTTTTCAGGGTCTTTTTTTTTTTTGTATTGTTTCCATCTATCAGGATAGGTGTTTTAGTCAGCTTTGTGTCAATGTGACCCAAATCACTGATAAGAATGCTTATAGGAAGAAAAGTTTGTTCAAATTCACAATATCAGAGATTCAAGCCATGGTCAGCCCACTCCATTGCTCTGGGCCCAAAGTGAGGCCAAATGGCATGGGTCAGGGATTCAGTTGAGAGTAGCTGCTCACCTCATTCATGGTAATCAAAAAGCAGAGAAAAAGGAAGAGGGAAGGAAAAGGTAAGGAACCACTGGGAACTCCCCTCCCAGGGCATACCCCTAGTGACGCATCTCTTCATTCAAACTAGGATGGACTGATTAGGTTACACATCTTAGAATCCAATCATTTCACCTCTCAACATTACTGCATTAACACAGGCACTGTTGAGGGTCACCTCATATATATACAGTCATAATAATGGATGTGTTTATTGTGCATGAAGGCAGCATGTCCACTTAATCCTTGATCATGGATGTCTTAAAATTTGGGTTAAATTTTTTTTTTTAAAGTTTCTGACTCCATTTCTCCATTCTCCATGATAAGAAACAGAACTGGATTCTAAACAATGAATGTTCTTGACTGTTTTACTGACCCGCATCCTGAGGTTATTCATATATCCTTTCTAGAATTACAAAGATATCATTCGAAGATTTTCCTGGGAATTAAAACAGTCTTAAATTATAAACATGGGTCCTGAAGAAATGTTTCCCAAACAGCCAGTTAATTGCTAAACAAATAAAAACTAAAGTCCCTTTAATGCCTGAATGAATGGTTTGAGCAGATTCCAGGTATGGAACAAATGTTTTAAAAATGCAAAGATCCTCTGCCCCCCATCTCCCCCTCCCTTTTTTAAAAAATCAGCCTACCATGGAGAACCCAGGAGGTCAGCAGGGAATTAGAAAGAGTGTTTCTATGCCAAAGAAGAGGCTTGGCCAGGAGGCTTGTTCTCTGTTAAGGCTGCTCTTGGCAGTTCCACTAGGTACTGAGAATGCAAACATGAAATATGACTCTGAGCCCTGATGAAATTTAATTCTCCACAGGACAACTCTGCTCTGTTCTTTTGGTGGAGGAGAACCAGAGAGCTTTCCTGGGATTCATAGAGAGTTTGTCCAGGATCTTAAGTATCAAGAGTTAGGTCTTAATTCTAAGTCCTTCTCTATTTCTCTCTAGGAAGAAATCATATTTATCTTTATTCTGGAAACATTCTCCGTTCCTATAAAGAGCTACACATCCTCTTCTTCTCGACTTCTTTCTTCTTACTTCTGGATGAGGATTTCAAAGACTCTTTGGGTTGAGAACCCTAAGCCATTTCCCCCAGCATCGCGGTTTGTCCCTGTGCTCCTACAGACGCATCTCCTCTCCGCAGCGCTTCTTGCAAACCAACTCCGTCCAACTTTCCTTTGCAGACTCCAGCAGGGGCGCCCTCCAGCAACCGACTGCTGCGGACAAAAGCGACCTCAGCTTGGGGACCCGGAGCTGCGCGCTCCGTGCCCAGAGGAGCGGACTGCGCCTCCTATCCCCCTCCAGCCATCTGCACTCACAACAGGGCAGGTTCGGGACCTCCGCCTTGGGTTCTGTGGCCCTTACCCATCCTTGGTTTCTCGCCTCTGGATCCTTCCTCCCTGGACACCAAATCATCCCAATTCTCTCCATCTCCAGGGCAGATCAACTGAACCTTTTCCCCTCTTTTGCAAACGCCTCCGACCACTTTCCCAGCCCCCAGCGAGAAAGCCGAGAAAGCCCAGCCGGCGTATCCCCAATTATACTGGTCCCGGAGGGGCTCCATCACTGCCCGCCGCCCTAATTCACGCTCATTCATATTCATTCTCTTTCTTTCTCTCTGTCCCTCTTTCTCCTTCCCCAAAGACTCCTAACAAGACAGGCTGATCCTCTCCAGTGGCACTCCCTTTCATTCATCCCCTCCCAACACACTCGCGCGCGCACACACACACACACA